ACATAGGAGAATGTTTAGAAAAACAAGTATTGGGTGCATTCTGTTTTGCTTGACATAAAATTAAGTCGATCGCGTTTATACTGAGTTACCTAAATTTTGTAAGCCCAAAGATTTGTATCAAATATTTCCGATTGATATATTTTATAAATTACCCATAAAAAGTTCTGCTACCGCTATTTTATTACAACGAGAAATTATTTCAAACACTTAAAATGTCATTCGGCTAATTTCGTCCATTCCTTTGATTTATAAACTCACCCCCCCTTTCGGATTCTCAGTTGTATCAATGCATCGATACTCGGTTGAGTCTAAAACTCCCTTAATTTACGTCATCAAGAGAAATTACTTCCACTTTCATTCATCATCATCAATCATCATCAACAGCCTATACTAGTCCACTGCTGGACATAGGCCTCTTCATTGACCCGATCATTTCCATAGCCCCAAGTCGATCTCGAATTAGATCTAGTTCTCAGTACACAGGGAGGTAGTTGACCGTTCCGGTATGTTATCAAGCGTTTGCCCGGATATGCTGACATATCCAATTGCACAATTTGCAACCGGTGTGGTGTACCTTTCCAAGATACTCTGAATTGCGAGACGAATATTGCAGGGATAATCAGTGGTTCTCGAACAGCATAATGTACATTCAACAGCACTTCAAAACCTCGGCTTGAATTAAAACGTCGCACACTTTATCAACGACTGATTGCAATACAATAATTTCATAAGTTTGTCCTATTATCCTGTTCCCTATACTTTTTTACGATAAAATGATTTTATTCCTAATCACTGTTATTTTTCACCCTAAAAATTATTTTTCTACTTTTAAGTTTGGCTAGTTAGTAAACAGTGTTTTTTTTAGTTTCTTTTTAACAATTTTTATTGAATTATGCAAATTAGGAGGCCTTTGTGTATTAACTTCTATATTTAAGAAAAAAATATTTATTAATTACATGGTGAGATTTCAAATGTAGACAAATCTGAATTCCGGATGCTCTTGAGCTTTTAATGTTAATTGACAAGAACTAGATTTTGTTAATGTCAAACATATCATCATTGATTTATAACCATTTAAAATAAGTCCGTATTGCATATGCATTTATCACTAATCTAGTTGAAGGTCAGGCAGCGTAACGCAGCCTTATTAATATGCTAATTAGCAAAAGAAATAGTTTGTTCGTGGGAGAGATATGCTCTATCACGCATGGCATAAACCGTAGTATCACTCCGGTCGAGCCGACAAACAACCTCTTCCTCTCTACCTCTTAAGAATACGGAGTGTCATCACCTCTATTCATTCCGTGGTTGTCACTAGTGTAGCAGTGGACTAGTAAGGGCTGTTGATGAATCAACCTCTTCTTCAGCCACTGTCTTCTTTTTTTGCATATCATCATTTTAATCATCATATCATTATAAAAATATAATTAAACCTGAAAGCGATACATTAAATTTTATGAGGAATAAGATTTTTGTTTAAATAGGGATGAAAATAATATATATGTAACCTATGAAACAGAAAAACGACACGATTCATATTGTATCAAGGTTAAACTTAACAATCAATTCTGATTTGTTTTTTTTCAATAGTGAGACTTTTATTTCCATTTAAACGTTATGTTCACTTTTAATTCAATTTACAATTTCTTTTAATAAGAACTTGTTTTATGTAATAAATAAACAAATAAAAAACATTTAAAAAAATTGCGAGACCTAGTTGCATTCAGCACTGGCCGTGGTCACAGATGTAATATTCAAAAAGTCGAGCAATTCAAAAGTTACATACATATTTAATGACGCAAATTTTCTAAGTTAATTAATTATTTATTCAAATTTTGTATTAGATCCGCTACTTATTCTAATGGCCAAGTTATAACAAAATCTTCATATTGTAAAGATTTTAAATAAATGTATAAAAATATTCTTAATACAGAAATAAATAATATACATAAGGACTCTACATAAGGCCGGTCAAAGAACTCTACACTTTAGAAATTCCCATTACCATACTTGTGGTGAAAAACTTGTTAGATGAAGCTGTGTAACAAAGAGTGAGAGTGTTTTTTATGAATGCCTAATGGCAGCAATTTAATACCAAACCTCGCTGAATATCTATAGAATAAGTGGACAGAGCCATTAAGCTACTAGTGCAGTATGGAGGCGGTAATTGGTGAATCTTACTTCTTCCTTCTATGTCATAAATGCGAAGGTTTGAATGAATATTCGTTACTCAAAAATGCCGAAACATCTAACTGGATTTAGACGAAATTTGGCACAGGGTTATAATTTGGGGAACATCATGGGCAATTTTTATCACGAATAAATTGATCAACTAAATTGACACTTACGCGAACGAAGTGAACTGGAAGATTATATTTTTTAATACCAACATAGGGAAAAGTCATATTGAACTAAATTACAAGGGTAGATTCTAGTAACTATATCTGGTTTAAGCAGTTGCCACGCCGCTTCTTACTGCGCCGAGTGTTGTGGGTTCAAACCCCACATGGAACGACACTTTGTGTGATCCACAAATTGTTGTTCTTAGTCTGGGTGTTCTTTGTGACCGTTTCATGTATGTTTGTACCTACGCGATACAGTATATATTCCAAATGAGGGAGTTGTCTTGTTTATGAAAAAAAAAAAAAGAATTAATTACCATATCCTTTCATATTTTTAAGTTACTGTTAGTGAAAGTGAAGACGTTGTAACGCCCAACACGTGAAGACGAACTAACAAACCGGTCTCGTCTATGAGTAACCTTAAGTAACGCGTAAGCTTATCTGTTACTATTGCCACAGTAGCAATAGTCACTTAATACTTTATTTATTTATTTATAACTTTATGCACATTTGTACAGTCAACCTTTAGGTAGTGTACAAATCGTGAGTGGTAGGCGCACTAAGATATACACGACACAACACACGTAATTTTATACACAAGCAAATACACATTATACACATATATAAACACATACATACACACACATATACATATACATACACATATATATAAATACACATACACACCATACATATCGACAAAGGCTTGAAAAGTTTCTGTCTGATAGACGGGCCTTTTGGTGATGGTGGTTATTGCTGAGCCACAGGTCGTGGATATGATTCCTGCTCATAACAAATAATAATTTAATGATTACAATTTGTTCTGTTTCTGCTTCAGATCCTAAGCTAATCCGTAAAGACTCAGTCTAGGTAAGGTTTACACAGATAGCCGTGTGTGAGATACGTGCGTTAAAGAAGTATATTACTACGTACATTTCTATATCTTCCTTCGTGCCGTTGAATAATTATGTACAGAATCATTGCGTAGGTACTTTTAAACTGAATCTGGAAACTCAGTTTCTAATCTAGTCAACAGACTAAAACTCCGACGTCCCACTAATTTCGTGTGTATTTATCATTACGGTCTTCAAACAATATGTGTTTTTATCGGTCTCACGTTCTGCAAGGACCACTTGACAAGGATGATAAGAATAAAATACGTTATAAATAGTTGTCTGCTTTTTCCAAGATTTCCTGTCCTTTTTGAGTTCGTTTAATTCTTATTTAACTACGTTTTCAGCTTCTCCAGTTCTACCAGAATACGGACGTGGTGGAAGTGGAAGTGGGTGGCCATCTGTATTGTCAATAAAGTACTAAGAACTTTTTGTAGTCTATTCCATGTCTGTTCCTCTCCATCTATTTTTTAAAGCAGACACTACTGACATCTATACTATGACTGGGAAACCCTATTGGAACGCAGAAGCTAAACTTTCAAGCAGTGTTTTATTAGTACAAAATAATATACACAGATGGCGTTGTATTAAAGTACAGGCTGTAATTTCTGACTATTACACTTTATTATTCTGGTATTTTAGAATTTTAACGACATAAGAGGGCCAATTAACGATAGATGAAAACTGTTTTTATGTCATGTATTGTCATTGTTGTTATTACCTAAAACTTAGTTAAATTGAATTAGTTTTACTGCGTTGTTTTTTAACCGACTTCATGCAGGTTCTCCATTCGGCAGTATTTCTTTTGTTTTTACTTTTGCTTGAGCGCCTCTATCATTTTTTAATCGATTTGGAATAATAATTTTTAATTTGAAGAGGTGGGAAAGGGCTATCCGTGAGGTGACGAATTGACCCTATTCATCCCGTGGGTGTCGTCAGAGCCAACAAAGGGAGTAAACTACGCAGGACACTAGCACTACAAAGAGAAGGAAAACTTGAAACAAACTCAACCCGTCTGGCCAGCGTGGTACAGTAAGCCAAAACCACCTTTCTAAGGAGAGGCCTATTAATTTAGCTTTCCGCTGATAAAAGAATTTTTAAAATCGGTTTAGTGATTTAGGAGTGAAAGCTAACAAACAAACAAACAACCTCACTTGCACATTGCTACCTGTTACTTTCTCTTTTTACCTAAAGTTCAATCAATTATTCTGTCTTTAATTTTTCCATCTCTAACTTTTTATGGTAAAAGGAACAAAGGAGCAAACGGGTCAACCGATGGCAACTAATTAGCTTCGTCCATAGACACATGAAACTCAAGACTCAAGAGACGCATTGGAGTGCCCCCTCCCCAGAAATGGGGGATAGGGGCAAGGGTCTGGCTCCGGTAAAATCACTCGCTCAGTAAAAGAAATGCTTAACACCGGTTTTCTGTGACTTCGGTGATTCCTTTGAAAAGCACACAAATAAGGCCATTGGCTTCATCAACAGCCTATAACAGTCCACTGCTGGACATAGGTCTCTCCTTAGAAAGGAGGTTTTGGCTGACTATACCACGCTGGTCAGATGAGTTGGTTAGGATCTGTGTCAATTTTTTCTTCTCTTTGCAGAGCTGTGTCCTGCGTAGTTTGCTCCCTTAGTCGGCTCTTACGACACCCACGCGATTAATAGGGGTGGTGACATTCCGTATTCTAATCCGTCACCACACGGATTTGGCCATTGGTTTGTCCCCTATTATCTTAGAGAGATCTTAATGAAAGTTAGCAAAATGTGCACGTTAAACGTCTCTGATACAGCAGATACAGAAGTGAGTGTATGTATAGTTATGTAACTAGGTACATATTATACATAGAAACATCAAGGTCAAAAGCAATTCAATATATTCTTCTTCCTCCGAGCGTTTTCCTAGGTTGGAGTCAGTTTTATGTCTACTACGTTACGGCTGAATTTCGTGTTTTTCTGTGGAGCAACTGCCATCAAACCTCCATAACCCAAGTAAAGAGAAGAAAAAAAAGAGAGAAAAAGAAAAGAGCGTACTCCTTCCTAAAAGGCCGGCAACGCGTTTGTGCCTCATGAGTTGCAGACGTTCATGGGCGGCGATAGTCACTTTCCATCAGATGACCCGTCTGCCCCCTCTAACATAAAAAAAGTACAGAGCGATATCGAAGTTCTGTACCCGTAATGATTATCACAGATGTTCATATGACAACCCGGACGAATCTCAATGTGTTAAGAAGTCACCTATCCATAGACTGACCTGGCTGGGATTGCTTAACTTTGCAATTTTTTCACAAAAGCGGTTATCACTTAGCCACCAGCCTCTCATCTATAAATTCCATTCTACATACTTATTTATATTATACTCACAAAAAAACATGATTTTTCCTTAAACATTTCATTATTTTTTGTTTCCCACAAATGGCTGTTGTCAAAATTCAAGTAGGTAGATGCCGCTAAGGAGAAAAATGTGAAAACTGAATATTATAAAAGCGATCAATCATTGTCGCACAAGATTGATGACGGTGACGCGTGACGCGTGACGCGGCAAGAAGTGATGAAATGAGGGGTGATTATGAGACATCAAGATATCCAGGTGTCATGTTCGAAAGGGCTTCCAATTCATTTGTCATTTACGTGTGTTTATTCAAATATCAAATATTCTACTATTTGACATTCAGATTGCTTTTGTTCTTATACAATATAATAGGGGTCAGAATTTTTTATGTCATAATATTATTTTGCATAACAACGCATAGCATAAACTTCATTTCATAGAAAATCGTTTGGCAGACACTCATTTATCATATATGCAAAACTCATAATTTTGTAAGACATGATCATCTTTAGGCATAAACTTTATATCCTTAATAATTAAAAAGTATAACCATCATATCGCCGAAAGTTTATAGTCAGAATCGTCTTTAAGCATAAATTTCATATCGATAGTGATTAAAAGGGAAAACTATCATATCTCAGGAAGTTTATAGTGATGATCTTTTGGCATACATTTCATATCTACAATAATTGAAAGACTATCTATCCATCATGTTGTATTTCTTACCACTATAATCAAGCTAGCAAGCATGCAGCATGCAAGCAAGAATGCAGTATGCAGCATATCTGTCACGGCTCCGGCGCTGCGAGGCTGCGATGGTTTCACGCGAGCTTATCGTCGCAGGTCTTATGCAGCTTCGGCTTGGCCTCCTCCTTAGCTCGCGGGGGTTTTTACACTCTAGAGGTAGGGCAGACAAGTCTAAATGGAGTTGGTTTTGCAGCGATTCGTTTCTGTCACAAACTTTTGTATCAAGACCTATGACTTTTTAAGATAGTATGTTAAGTGCAATGATGTAATTTTATGACAATATGCCTAATAAAATTATTCCAAATAAAGTTGTACCAAATAATCGTCGCTATAAATAAACGCTATGTCAAACAAAATTATGCGGCACTTTAATTCTCTCAAAGGTAATTATGCTAACTAAAATTATGCCATCTTAAAAGTATGACATTGTAAATTCGGACGTATAAACATTCGGCCAAACAATAATTGTACTAAATATTTTTTAATGGTTTAAAGATATTCGTGTAAAGTAGATTCTGCCAAGTGTGTTATGCGAAATAAATTTCGGAGCATCTAAATTCTGCTAGATAGAGGGAACCCATATAATAGTAAATGTGTGTTGGCCTTACCCATCTTTGTCCGATGATTTAATAAGCGTCTTTGTGGCAAATTTTAATATGGCTGAGTAGTCTCTTATCGGACTACACAGTCATAGTATATTATGTATAATAGTATTATATAGTATAGTTGTATAAAATAGCATAATATATAATAGATACTGTAAGTAACCATAGTCAGTAAAGTTTTGGGCGATATGGTATTCATACACAGCACACAGGACCAACACACATAAAATACCCAGGAATCGCAAAACATGCATCGGTCACAGGACCCACAACCACAAGGCTCGCAACAATCACCAGACATACCGCAATCCCCAGACACGCCAGACCCACTCAACATAGCACATACACTGGACACACAACAGACATTAAGCATACGACGGGTAAGAGGAAGGGGAAGAGGACGAGGATGAGAAAGGAGAAGGACCGCAAATAACACGCACCACACGACAGACACACACTAGTTAGGTTCCTATCATACAATGAAACTACACATTAAAATTAAATTACAATATATCTATTCATACACACCATTTATATCTAACTTTATCAATTTTGATTGTTTTGGGTTACGGGACGGGGTATTTATAAACCCGACAAAAAAAGTCGAGATGTTGAAACCAACACAATATAATAGATACTGTAACAAAAAAATGTAATTTGATAAATTCAGTAGGTAACACTTTTAATCTGATAACTTATCGCTTTAGAAGTAATATAGTAAATAAACTTGGCTGTTTTATAAGTTTCATTTTAAATGTGATCTCTTGTAGGTAGTTAGGGGTGAGGTGCACCAGGGACTTCCTTTCTAGGGTATACCTGGTTCCCCGGCTATTAGTATCCGAGACGGCGTGCGGTTTTAGTCGGTTCGAGTCCGACATGCCACCGACAGGTGGTATCCGAGGGGACTTCCGCACGGGGAAAAAAAAAAAAAAAAAATGGGGTGTTCTAGAAAACATTATTAGTCGATCAAGTCAAAAAGACAGCTCAAGTCAAACTGGCCAAATAAACACAAAAATGGGCTTAATTAGACAGCCGTACTTAAATTTATACGAAATCCATTACGATTATAAAAATACTCTAATTGGAGAGGCCTATGTCCAGCATTTGGCTGCGATTAGCTGATGATGATAAAAAAATGGAAAAATTGAGCACATTTTTCCAAATGTAACTTAAAGAATAATAAATCATCTTAACAAGATACACGAACACCAATTTGAGAAGCTTTCATCTTCACTCATAACAGGTACTAATAACTTGTCCAAATTAAGAGATTTCACTCAGATCTGTTGGAGGGAGTTTTAACGGTGCTTAATTAGATAAATTTGTGCAACAGCACGGGCGCCGGGGCCGCAGTCGAAAACATTTTTAACTAGTTTTGTTTGATAGGTATGGTATTTATGAAATGCAAATGGTATTGATTTTGAAAACCGAATAAACACTTAAACGGTTCTGTTGGTTTAGTGGTTAGTGACCCTGACTGCTAAGCCAGAGGTCGTGGGTTCGATTCCTACCCAGGAAAAATATTGTGTGATGAGCACATTTATTATTTATTGTCTGGGTGTAATTTATCTATAATATGTATGTATTTAAAATTATTTATTGTGTTCATGAGTATCAGCAGTCTGGTTACCATAGCAGGTACCTATGTCCAGCAGTGAACTATTACAGGCTGTTGATGATGATGATGATACGTGATAGGGTCAAGCTTATTGCAATAAATTATGCTCTCTAGGTACCAGATGGAAAATTTGTAGTGTCTTGAAAGGAAATAAAATTCTTCTAGATTGTTTTAATTTATGACCTGCAAGTAACTGTATTCTTCATAGGAATGAAGAATACAGTTACTTGCCAAGGATGGTTTTTAGGTTTTAGTTAGTTTTTTTAGTCTCTTTTGGTGTTTTTTCTTCAATTTTTCCCAGTTTTGATGTCAGTTAAAAGTTTGAACAATTAAAAACAAAGTTTATTGCATTTCTTCCGTGTGATGACCGATTAAGAAAACGGAGTGTCACCACCACTAGTCCTCCCATGGATGTCGTAAGAGCCTACTAAGGGAGCAAACTACGCACGACAACAGCAGTGCAAAGAGAAGGAAAACTTGACACCTTCCAAAACCTTCTTTCTAAGGAGAGGCCTATGTCCAGCAGTGTAATATTAAAGGCTGTTGATATTTTTTTATTTATTTAATAAATTCACATAAAAAATACACAAATATATGAAGTCCCTGACTGCTGAGCTAGGCTCCTGGTCTGTGTTACAGAAGTCAGTGTCTTCTCCCATTATGAAGTACACAGAAATCTTATGCAAAATAGGTGCCGTAAGATAATAATATAATATAATAATAGATGAGTGTTAATAAGTGATGAAAGTGCGGAGTGTGGTGCGTGCAGTAAGTTTGTGGTGTGTATGGTATTTAAGCGTATGAATGTATATGTAAGTATGTGTATGGATTGGTATGAGAGGTGTATCTGGTCAGTCTTTAGTCTTTTATAATAAAAAAATTTCAGTTTGGTCATAGTGTATTCCAAGCAACCAATTCTTTAATTTAATCTTAGCTTCAATGGGATGAATGTTTGTTAATTTATTTATTCTATTATACAAGAAGATAGACATGCAGACGGTTTGCCGTCTGGTAGAGGTGTACGACAGGTGGCGTATAAGCAGACATTTATCATTGTACGCATTTTATTATAATTTTCAGATATGATAATGTAATTGCATTTCTATACTTTTGTTAACCGTATTTTTTTTTTGTAAACAGCAAATTATTCAGGTTTGTATTTATTCTGTTACAGATAACTTAATCTCAAGCAGCGTTTACATATATGCATTTATCTCCTAACTCAAATAACTCTAACGATTCCATCATTAAGAATGCAGAAAAATAAAACATAAAGCTTAATTGTACAAACAAAGCGAGAATGTAAAGGTGGGTGCGATTGTGGTAAGCGGTTGAAAGCAATTCCTTGTCCCACTGAGTGGTGCAAAGAAGCAATTAAGATGAGAAAACGCTTGTACACCGAGAGCGTTTGTGGACGGGTTAAGCGGAGTTCACATTGTGATGTTTTTAATTTTATCGGTTCCAAATTTAAAGGTGTTGCGTGATTGATCAGTATAATGTCA